AAACAAAAACTGGGTCTCTCTACCTCTTGAAATCTCTTTTACAGAGAAGAAATTATACATATACATTTCCCAAAGTAGATCTGTCTGCATTTTTCTCCATGATATATTTGCGGCTGCCCTTTACCAAACACATGGCATCAGAAGTCAGTGCTGCAAATCTTGCAGTTGGTTTATCCTGTTGGTTAGGTTCTCAGCCTCCTCAGCTTTATGTTTTCTTAATATCAAAATAGTTTCCTGCTGATACACCTACTGAAATTCATAAAGAAAGAAGCTCTTCAGTATACCATGAAAACATATATAGTTCTACTAGAAAAACTAAATCTAAGCACACAGGAATGTGAATAAGAATCCAAAGTGGTAGAAGAAAAATGCCAGGTAAAGGTATGGATGGAAAGTGTGTCTCCTATGAATGTCCTCAGCCTGTTTAGTAAGAGGGTGGGTGGAGGGGATAAATGGGTTTACTCTAAATCTAAAGCCCACATTTGGAAGGTTTTGCCTCCACATGCATGACTACAGAAACTTTACTTCATCCTTTAAAAAACATTTACCTGGTTATTTCTTGGAGTTTCTGGGGGCTACTTGATTTGTGCACAAAATTTTAACTGTTCGAGTTCATTCACCTCAGTTTTTATTTTGAAAGTCATGTGCCCTTGAGCCACTTAAGAAAGGCTCTGCTGGCACTGACATATTGCTTTTTCTCCTGTAAAAGCAAAGCATTGGATCACATAGCCTTCTTTCCACTAACTTCTTTAGTGACATACAATAACGTGTTCCATGACTAAAAGCCTATTTGATGACCTGAATCAATATTAAGAATCCTTTCTACATTAAAATAAGCCTCCTTAATGGTCTCTTTAATTGAATTCTTAAATATGTCAGTGTATATAGTCACAAAAAATAAAATTCAAAGAGAATTGTACTTGAACTCGTTAAACAGTTTAAAACAAAAATCATGAAAGATTTTTTAACTGTAAATGTCTGAATTTGACCACTACCACTTGTAAACTCTAATATAGGGTGTCCCAAAATTCACGCAAGAAGTAATTTTGATAGAAAACACAGGTTTATAATTAAAAATTGTAAATTTTTTTATTGATTCATAAAGTATACAGTATAGGGTTATGTATGGAATAGCATATAGGGTAAATGGCCTCCACGGCTTTGCTGGCACATACGCACTCTTTTGTTGAAATTTTCCATGACCGTTTTTGCATAAATGTGGCTGAATTTTGTTGATACCGCGCTCAATTTCCTCCTTCAACGCATGGGTGGTCGTGGGCTTGTTGGGATAAACCTTAGACTTCAAAAAACCCCAAAGAAAAAAGTCCAACGGCGTTAAATCGCATGATCTGGGCGGCCAATTCTGATCACCAAAACGGGAAATTACACGACCAGGAAATGACTCATGCAGTAATTGAATTGTTTCTCGGGCTGTAACCATTAAATTCAAATCTTGCGTGAATTTTGGGACACCATTTAGAAGGATGCGGCATTTAAAATTTTGCCAATCGATTATACTGCTATATTTTAGCAATTTTAAGTCAATTCTGAAAATATGGATGATAAACAATTTTATAAGGAAAATCACATTGAATATACAATAACTATTTATATATAGAAAGTGCTAAATTATAAAATACATATGCCAAATGTCTATTTTTGTCATACTTGTTGTATTCTCCTACTTACTCTATAGCAACCCTGAGTAAGTACTATAGGGCTGGCATAGGGCATGTGATAAATTATATTTTATAAGTGAATTTTCATACATATTGTAATTGGCTTCTGACTAAATAAACTATCATATGGCCCATGGTAACTTCATTGCTCAGGGGCTACAATTCCCAAAGTCAAGTCATAGAGACCAGTTCATTAACTGTTGTTGTCTCTTTATGCCTAGGCCTTAATAATTTAAATTTTATTGCTAATAAATAATTCATACTATGATAGTATTGTTTTTTAAAAGAGCTGAATTATCTTATAGCTCTTGTTTTTTTTAAGACTCCCTGGCAATATTTTTCTGTGAATATCTAAGCATTGGTTCTTTAGGACTCCCTGGGAACAAAAAGTTTGTTTTAATTTGAAATATGCCAGATTCAGTTAAATAATTAACTAGGGTCCACAGATTTTTACCTTCTCCTTCATAATAAAAAAGTACAATTATAGCATTAAAACTTAGTTATATTAAAATAATAATCCAACTAACTAGGGAGGCATAATGCTCAGTAGAATCTAAAAAGGGACTTGTATGTATTGACCAATGTTTCTTTCTCTGATTATGTTTATTTTTTTTTTTACTATGGTAAAATGCACATAACATAACATTTACTATCTGAACAATTTTTAAAAATATTTATTTATTGATTTCAGAGAGAAAGACAGAGGGAGAGAGAGATAGAAACATCAATGATGAGAGAGAATCATTGATCAGCTACCTCCTGCACGCTCCCCACTGGGATTCAAGCCTGCAACCTGGGCATGTGCTCTGATCAAGAATTGAACTATGATCTTCTGGTTCATAGGTCAACACTCAACCACAATGCCATGCTGGCTCGGCGTAATTTTGTCTATTCTAAGTACCTCCTATAAGAGAAAGCATGCAGTATTTGTCCTTTGGTGACTGACTTATTTTACTTAGCATAATGTCCTTAAGATCATCTATGTTGTGGCATATGTCAAATTCTTTCCTGAATAACGCTGAATAATATACCATGTATATGTATACCACATTTTGTTTATCTATTCAGAGCCTACTTTCAATTCTGAGTACATACCAGAAGTGGAATTGCTGCATTATATTGTAATTTTATTTTTAATTTTTTGAGGAACTGTCATACTATTTTCCACAGCAGCTGTACCATTTTACATTCCCACCAACTCTATATAAGGCTTCCAAGTTTTCCACATCCTCACCAACACTTGTAATTTCCTATTGTTGTTTTGTATTTGTTTGTTTGTTTATAGTAGCCATACTAATGCAGGTGAGGTGGTATCTCACTGTAGTTTCGATTTGCATTTCCAAAATGATTAGTGATGCTAAACTCTATATTTTTAATTATATAGACAAAAACCATTTTTTCCTTTTACTTGACAATTCTAGAGGAAATTGTCTAAATAAAAAAGAAATTCAAAACTGTAATTTTACCACTATAAGCACATTTTTAAAGGATTAGTATAAATTTGAAGAAAACAGGTTAATGGAATAAATAAGTTAGTTTATTCTACAGTCAGTGTACAGCTTTCCAAAGTAGCAATTAAAGTATTCATTCACTCATTCATCAAATACTAATTGAGAGTCTCATTTGTATTTCAGTGTGTGCTTATGGAAATGTATAAATCAGACCTATTGTTCCTGCCCTCTGACAACCTATCTCTAGTTTATAGGGCATTATCTTTTGTTAGCCATATATAGGTCAAAATAAAGATGTGCCAAGTGGTCCCACTGAGAAGACAGACAGATCTAGTTCAAATATTTTTTCTTTGTCTTTATCAGAGGAATGTCTAGAAAATGTTGCGTAAGCTGGACTTACTCATCTGAACAATAGGCAAAATCATTTACTGAAGAGTTTTGTGTATTGACCACGTGGGCAATATAAAGGGGCAAACTGTGTAGATGCCCAAAATGACTTTAATAGTTTTGTTTTGTTTTATTGGCATATATATAGTTAAGAGTTCATGAATATCTTGCTCCAGCCCAGAAAAATGGAGGCTTCCATTAAATTAGAGATTTTTGAATAATCATTAAAAAAAGTCAGTAAGTGGAATTAAACTCTGTTGTCAGTACTTAGAAGTTACAAAAAACAAAAAGTGCCAGGAAAAATGTAGACTTAAGAGAGGTAAAATTGTTTTGTAAGACTTTTACTTTAGAATTGTTCATCATCTAACGTATTTACATTTTACTTAAAAAGAAAAAAATGGATCCCAGGATCTGCTATCTGGACTATAAGATTCATTAATGCATTCATTTGTTTAATTAAGGAAAATCTGCTCTCATTGAGAAAATGTGCTGGTCATAGGGAGTGGGACCATTCTGATCCTGAACAGCAAGTCCTCACTGCAAATTCATTAACTGGCTGAATTCCTAGGTATCTTGCCTACAGGTAAGAAAACTTGGTTATGTGGGACAGGGCACCCTCCTTTTGACAATAATTATGTCATTGCAAAAGTGTAAATTAATTATTTGTTTTTATGGTATTACTAGAGGCCCGGTGAATGAAATTTGTGCACTGGGGGAGGGGATCCCTCAGCCCAGCCTGTCCACTCTCACAGTCTGGGAGCCCTCAGGGGATGTTCTACTGACAGCTTAGGCCTGCTCCCCGCCTGGCTTCCCTCTGCGGGAGGCAACCAGCTGATCAGGGGAAGGCACCACCCCCATTACCCTGCTGCTGCTACCATTGCCAACCACCGCAGCCACCAAAGTGTTTTCATCAACACAGACTCTAGACCAGCCGTGGGCAAACTACGGCCCGCGGGCTGGATCTGGCCCATTTGAAATGAATAAAACTAAAAAAAAAAAAAGACCGTACCCTTTTATGTAATGATGTTTACTTTGAATTTATATTAGTTCACACAAACACTCCATCTTTCATAGGATATGACATTTCTTTCTTTCTTTTTTTTTTTTTATCCTCTCCTGAGGATATTTTTCTATTGATTTTTAGAGAGCGTGGAAGAGAGAGGGAAAGACAGAGAGAAATATCAATGTGAGAGGGACACTTCAATTGGTCGCCTCCTGCATGAGCCCTGACCTGGGCGCCAGCCAGGGAGGAGCCTGCAACCTAGGTACATCCCCCTTGATCAGAATTGAACCTGGAACCTGCGGTCCACAGGCTGAGGCTCTATCCACTGAGCCAAACTGGCTAGGGCAGGATATGACACTTCTTAGCCCATCCAGCAGCGGACCTTCGTTTTTTCCTCCAGGAGTGAGGAGGAAAAACCCTAGATCACCTTCTTGGATTCTTATTACCCAAGCAAGTTACCAAGAACACTGTGGCATACAGGGAGCTTAGCCAATGAGCGGTAAGAAAAGGTGTTTCCTCTGCAGCTCACGTGCAGAGGCGGGACTGCTGGCGCTGTCTCCCAGCGGGGGCAGGCCCCACTGTGTATTGTGTCTCCACTCTGGGCCCACCCCCGGCCATCTGAGTGCGCAGCCTCCTCCTGAGCCAGTCATGACTGTTACGGCGTCCCAGCTAATTTGCATATCACCTCTTTTTAATATATATAGATAGATATAGATATAGATATAGATATAGATATATATAGATATGGCAGCCTCATAATCCTGGAATGGTATTGGTCTTTTGCTTTGTAATGTTAAAAAGAAATTAAGTTCTGAGACATTAAAACTCACAACTTGATCCTGAACATTGACATCAAGATAACTGGACAGCAGAAGGGTATTAATGCACCTCAGGAAATGCTCCCTCACCCCCACCAAGGGAATTCTAACTCCATGCCCTGGGAGACACTTTTCTAAAGCTGTAAACACTTCTACAAACCTGATTTTGTAAATAATTGTTGTTTAAATATTTTGTCAAGATACAGTATTAATTTGGATTTTTTTTCTCATCTGAACACTGGGTAATTCTAGAAAAAAGCTATTATACTTGAATCATTATGTTTCCAAATTTTGATACACTGCCTTTATATATTAGCCTCAATTAGCCTATAATAATATCATAAAACTGATTCATGTCAAAAATAAAAACTTAGACAGATGCAAATATTTACTAAGGCTTTAAGACAAAAAATTTTAAAAACATTTTGAAGTAGGAAAATTGCACTGATATGTATGCACTGCTTTTTTGTATAATATAGCAGTAGATATTAATTATGATGGCTTTTCCCTTGAAGCATATTTTGTCTTTTTGGTGTATATGGATAGAGTACTTTCGCAATTGTACTTTTTTGCCCTCAATAAAACTATGGCTGCATTGCTCATCCTTATATTTATCTCTGTATTGGAATGCTTCTTGAAGTTTTCTTTTAGATTTTTCAGTTTCATATTCTACAGTAGAATTTGTTTGCTTCTCTAGTCTGCTGCCAGGAAGTTAAATATAATAGTAAAGTTTTATTGAAAAGTGGAAAATAGGAAAATTTGAAAATTGGAATCCTATGCCTTGCTTCTTTTTTGAGAAAATGTTTTTGTACCTATGTGCTTTGGGACTTGACATTAGTCATTTGGTTGACCCTAGGAAAGGATGTGAACTGAATCTTCTTAAGTAAGGTCATTTTCATTGTTACATTTTATTGTATTCTTTGTACAAAAATGATCTTCAAAATTCCATCTATCCTAATTGTTTTTGTTTTTATAAGGAATCATACCTATTTGTTAACATTTCCTTAAATGTGTTTTCTCCAGATGTTGAAAGTAAAAAGGTCCTTGTTATTTTTTCCATTGTCACTCTTTACTACTTTCCATAGGCGGCATATTGTGCACGCCAAGGACTGGAGGAAATAACAGATGTGTGAGCCCCAAATTACAGGCACAAAAATAACTTTTATAAAATAGGTTTTAAATGACACCACTTTCCAAAAAGCCAGCTCTAATTGACTCAAGCCTAGAAAGCAGTAACTTTAGGGAACATCAGACACACGTACACTGATCCCAGAAAGTGTTCCACAGTGTGACATTAGCTGGGATGATGACATTCCCAGCTTGCTGCCAGCACATTCCAGAAGGCAGGCTGGGTATTTTGGTACAGGTCAAGACAGTGTCTTCAATAGTATTGTTCTGACATTGTTGAGATGCTATTTTATTTATGCAACAACTTCCTGAGAATGCCAACTCCATTGCTCACCCACAAGAGATAAAAGAAAAGACAGGGGCAGAGAAATAAGAGGGGAAACTCCTCCAGTTTTTTCTTTGAATGCAGACAGAATCCTCACCCGGGCTTACTGACTGGAGCAGCACGGGTTCCTGCTGTTCGCAGAATGTTACAGATGGCTGCCCAGGCAGGAAGCCCTCCCCCTTCCCTTAACGGTGCTCTGGGGAATGCAAGGGGCCTGGAACCAGCCCTCTCCTTCCCTTCCAAACCTCTTCTTCAAACCCCCACTGAGTAGAAAAAAAAAAAAAAAGAGGGAGAGAGGAGAGGGGGAAAAAATGCACGTCCCTGGAAACATTTCTGCCAATCTGTTTTTTATGGAATCTTGAATTAACCTCTTCACTGCCGATTAGAATAGCAATTTATAACTTTGCCGGCATCTCTTTAATGTCCTGAATCAATTCCACCAGCTCATTGAAGTGCCCTACCATTTGGGTTCAATTATAATGGCACTTTTGAATTATGCAACAATTTCAAGTAAGCAAAAGCAGGTTTGAATTCTGAAATAATTAGTAATATTTTAGCACATCAAATATTGTATTAATAGTGTTCCCTGATTCAATTTTTGAAAGTTTTGTGTTTCCCCATAGTTTTTCCTTTTTCTCTTTCTTTCTTTTTTTTAAACTATATATTTTAAAAACACCTTGCCTTTGTTTTGGGCCTATTTAATAAGGAGTTATTTTCATAACCACAGTTTTTTATTTATAATTTGAAGGCAATTTCATTATCATAGTTCTATTTTTACATATTTAAGGCATACTATATTTGTATACTAAAATAAGGTGTTTCTTGAAGATAACTTTTATTTTGGACTTACAAAGTTAAGAAATTCAGCTAATATAGGGTGTCCCAAAAAATGTATATACACACTTTGAATTATTAAAAAGGCAGTATTTATTAACATACATTTCATTTTAAAAATTGAGCTATCAGCTGTTAAAGTGTGTATACATTTTTGGGGAACTCCCTGTATATATCTCTGCCCAAAGAGGAAGCATAAACCACATACTTTATGCAAAAGTATGAAATGCAGTATAATTTGTAACCTCATAAATATCATCATAGTAAAAACGAAATACACCACATAAGGATAGACTTATTTTGAAACATTTATATTACACCTGATTCAAAAATAAATTGTAGGGGAGGAAAAATAATTTTACCTCTACCCTTCTCTGTTCTTGGCTGATACACTCCCCCTAACTGGCCCTTGTAATAAAAGACAGATTAACAGGAGAAAATGAAACACAAGTTTAATAACATATATATCTCTTATACACATGGAAGACTCAGGAAAACTAAGTAACTAATTCCCTGAGTCGGCCCAAGCCACCACCTTAAATACAGATCTCCAGCTAAAGACAAAAGAAGATATTGTGGAAGTGGTGAAGCCAGTTATGGGAGGTTATCAGGAAAAGCACAGGTCAGTAGCTTCTCCACTGGCCCTTGTAATAAAAGACAGATTAACAGGAGAAAATGAAACACAAGTTTAATAACATATATATCTCTTATACACATGGAAGACTCAGGAAAACTAAGTAACTAATTCCCTGAGTCAGCCCAAGCCACCACCTTAAATACAGATCTCCAGCTAAAGACAAAAGAAGATATTGGGGAAGTGGGGAAGCCAATTTATGGGAGGTTATCAGGAAAAGCACAGGACAGTAGCTTCTCCATTGATAAGAGTTTGTAGAGATTTAGTGTCATTCTTCTCTTTCTGGTACAGAGAGGGAGACACCCTTACAAATGGAGAGTTCCCTCATCTCATAATAGGCTAAAGTCCTCTCAGTTTTCAGAGCTTTTCCTATATCTGCTGTTTCTTTAAAATAATCAGTCTAAAATAATCCTTAGGCCAAAGAGACATATTTTAGGGTGGCAAGTTGTGTTCCCCCTCAAAAGTTAGACTACCAAACTCTATAACGCCGATGACAGAAAGGTTAGGTATTTCATCATATGGAGAATAAAATATTCTAATCAACTATAGTTATACTCCATAAAGAGACAGATAAAAGCTTAAAGAAGAGAAACTATTGAAAATGCAATTTAAGAATAACAGAAGAAAGAGGTAAAAAGAAGAAAACTTCTAATTTCATATTAAGAAGTCCAGATATGCTGTGATTGACTAAATTTATATATTAATTAATTCACCAAATATCGAATGACTGTTTTTCAAGCACAATATTAAGGATTTAGTCATGAGTAAAACACACTATTTGCCCACAAGATACTGACAGTGGAGAACAGGACAGTCTGGGTTTCCATCACCTTCTATCTAAGGCCCTTTTATCTGAATTCTTGGGAAGGCTAGATGAAGACAAGTCAATTCCACCAGTTCTCAGTTTAACAATTTGCCAGTAAATACACACGGCATCCATTCCTATTGGTCACTGCATCTATTCTGATTAATACCAAAGTTGTACCATTCATTAAATATTTTTAATAGCATACCTGTTATATGCAATAAAATCTTGAATCATTTGGGGTTTCTTCAGTGGACCCAGAGAAGAAAGACTCATTTGATGTAAACACCAAGAAGAAATTATTCTGCTGAGATGTACTCCCCATGATCAACTGAGAGCCCAAATTTTATGAATAATAAAAGCCTACTGCCCATTTGCTAACGGGCTCCTCACATACTCTGTACACCTAGAGGAACCTCAAACTGAACTGTAGGCTTCCTACACTATGCCCTGCTTGTTTAAGCTGCCTCAATCAACCAGCTGAGACCTACAGAATCCAATCAGAACTGCACAATTAGAATACCTCATTTTACATAAAATGAATCTAATTGAGAACCTGGGCAGGAACTTTGGTATAAAAGGCAGCCTCCCCCTTGTCTCAGTGAAACACAATTTACATTGCTATCCAAATCTATGTCTCCTGAGCTGCAGCTCCTTTTGCTCAAATAAATTCTTTTTATGCCTTATTACAGTCCAAAATTAATTTTAGTTTACACTTCAAACACTTTAAAATATTTATTTACCTTATATACAGGGTGGGCAAAAGTAGGTTTATAGTTGTGAGTATGCAAAACACAGTTTAATCTTGTATCATTATTTACTACTAGTAGCCCGGTGCACGAAATTCGTGCACTGGGGTAGGGGGGAGAAAGGGGACCCTCAGTCTGGCCTTCACCCTCTCCAATCTGAGACCCCTCAGGGAATGTCCAACTACCTGTTTGTGCCCACACTTTTAACAGATAACAGCTCCATTGTTGTT